GTAAAGGTGGTAAACATTCAAAAGAACGCTATACTGTGTTACTTTGTTCTAACTGTAGTGGCACTGATAAATTGAAACCATTAGTTATTGGTAAGTCTTTATGGATAATTTTCTATATCGTTTCTAGTTGATTTTTAGGAAAAAGCTATCGACCTCTGTTATGGTCGACATCTATATGATGAAGTAACTTCTTCTTTTTCTTTCTCATATCTCTCTTTCGTTATATATATATATGTTTTTTGGTTTGTTATGATACGTTGTTGTTAAAATAAAGAAAAGAAAACAGTTGTTTATGATTTTCTTAAGATTGTTGAAAGAAGAATCATAACAGTGGTGACAGCGGTGAGATCAAATTAAAGCTCAACATCGGAAATAATTAATTTAATTAACTCCAGAATTTAGGGAACATCCTTCGTGAAAGGATTGTGCCTGTAATTTATTTACACTTTATTTAATATGTCTCAGAGTACTCGATCCAAATTAGATTTACATACAACTGCCATGTCCGAACTACAGTGTAAATCATCTTCTCAACAAATAAAAAGTGAAATAGCTTCGCAATTAGAACAAGCCACATCTCTGTCGACAATACACAATATTGAATCAGATGATGATAATAAAAAAGAAATTATTGACCAGACCCAATTATCTTCAAACGGATCTGGACAACTTGAACAACTTATTCAAAAACAATTTGTTAAATATTTCGGTGATGGTAATGGTGAGAATTGGTTATTGCAAACCATCAAACAATTCGAACAGTACCAGTTATCACAGGAAGATCAATTGAAAGTTATACCACTTTTATTAAAAGATTCTGCTTATTTATGGTATATTAAAAACGAACAATTTATTGGTAGTTTTAAAATGTTTATCAAATTATTTCTTCAACAATTTGCACCTGATCCAACTCAATTAGTAAATGATATTTCATCACTTACTTCTCAACTTTCTCTTACCATGGCTAGAGAAATTATAAGAACTCCTATTTATTTCCAAGGATCAAAGGATGATGTTTTAGATTGGTTAGAAAAATTAGAACAACGATTTAAAATGGCGAATTGGGATGATGAACATAAATTACAATATATTTCCATACATTTACAAGGTGATGCATATAAATGGTGGATTCAAGCATCGGAAAAAATTAAGTCTTGGTCACATTTCGTTGATGAAATTAAACAATCATTTGGATCAACAAGAATGAAAGAATTAGCATTTGAACAGTTAAAATGGTATAAACAATCTGCTAATCAATCAATTACTCAATATTTTGATAAAATTATAGAATTATGTAGGAGAATAGATACAACCATGTCTGATTCTATGAAGTTACAATATCTTACAGCAGGTGTGAAAGAATCATTAAAATTTCATATTGCATTAAAAGAACCACAAACAACTGAAGCCTTTCTATTGTATGCAAGAAAATTGGAAGATACGTTATCATTTGCTGGTAATGATGATGAAACAAATGAATATGATGAATCCCAAGGTGTAGCTACAATGCAACAACGACCATGGATATCATATAAATTTCAAACACCACGTAAAAATTATTCACAAAATATTCAATATACAACTCCAAGAAATTCACAAGGATATGGTAAGAATAATTTATTCAATAAAAATACTTTATCTTCAGATACATCACAAAGAAAACCAAATAAACAATCTTCAGTTATTTGTTATGCCTGTGGTACTTCCGGCCATTATGCCCGGGACTGTGTCCGTTCCCATTTCGATTAATGGAGACATCGGTCGATGGTGTTGTTTCCAAAAATTTATATAATAATCCATCGAAATTTAACATGTCACTATTATATCTTACAACTTCAGTCAATAATCAACGAATGAAAATGATGATTGATACAGGTGCAAATAAATCCTTTATTTCCATTCAAGCATTAAATTCAACATCTAGTAAACAATTTTTTAATCGAATCCATCGTCGTGTATTTTTAGCTGATGGTTATTCATCTCTTGCTGTTTACGGTGAAGTCAAATTAAATATAACTATGGGCGAAATGAACACGTTTATTAATGCATATATTGTCAAAAAATGATGTACCGATTGTATATTGGGAATGGATTTTATTAATAAATATAAATTAATTATTAATATGGAAGAACAAACAGTGTCAGTATTTAATAACGACAAACGAATAGAATTAAAGTTAGATGTTAACGAAGAGAATAGACGTTTTCCAGCACGTTTAATTAATGATATTCATATTCCACCTAAACATACTGTTTCCGTTCCTGTAATGGTGAAATCGTCATCAACTAAAGCCTTATTCCATCCATCTTATAAATTACAACAAAGAACACCTTTACTTATGTTAAACTCTACGTTAAATGTAAAAAAAAAACTTCCTTTATTTCACTTTACAATCCAACAACTTATTCGTATTCATTACCACAAGGAATTATATTGGGAACAACTACTATTCCCAAATTATCATTTAATAAAAATTTAGATATTGATTATGAATTAGTCAATAAAAATATTAGCAATCTAATTCAACATATTAATGATGAACAACACCAACGAGAAATAAAAACTGTTCTTGAACAACATGCGAAATTATTTGATACTGGTAGACCAACAATTGCCAATACTTTACCACATGAAATAAAGACTCTTGATCATCCACCACCAACATCTAAACCATATTATTCAACACCCATTAAACAAGAAGAGATGTATCGGATTACACAAGAATTATTACATTTTGAATTAATTCGTCCATCTTATTCTCCTTATGCAGCACCAGCTTTACTCGTAGCTAAACAAGATGGTTCATGGAGAATGGTGGTTGATTATAAGAAGCTGAATAATATTACAATTAAAGATAATCATCCATTACCAAACCTGGAACAAGCAATACAGATATTAGGTGGTGGTTATAGATATTTCTCAAAACTGGACATGAAGAGTGGTTTTTGGCAAATACCAATTAAAGAAGAAGACAAACATAAAACGGCTTTTATTACGCCGGATGGGCTTTATGAATGGAACGTTTTGGCACAAGGTTTGAAGAATAGTCCACCATCATTCCAACGCGTAATGGTCGAGATTTTGTCACCATGTCGACAATTTTCATTGGTTTACATCGATGATATTGTGGTCTATTCTCATTCATTTGAAGAACATCTCAAACATATTACACAAATATTATCTATTTTGTTACGTCATAATTTCCAACTTAATCCAACAAAATGTAACATTTTCCAACAAGAAATTGATTATTTATCTCATACTGTTTCTGCAACAGGTGTTAAACCAAATGATGAAAAAATTCAAGCAATTATTAAATTACGGGAACCTTCAACATTAGCTGAAGCAAATAAGTTCCTGGGTGCTATTTTGTGGTATCGCAAATTCATTCCTCAATTCGCAAAAATTGCAACACCTATTCATAAAATAACAAATTTAACAAAACCAAATCGAAAAAAATTTAATTGGGGTGAGGAACAACATCAAGCATTTTTACAATTAAAGCAATTATTAATAACACGTCCTCTATTTTTGGATTTTCCTAATGATCATTATCCTGTTATATTAACAACGGATGCATCGAAGTTTGGTATTAGTGGTACATTACAACAAATTATTAATGGAGAAACCAAGAATTTATATTATCATTCTCAAGTTACTACTTCTACTCAAAGAAGATATGATCCAATTGAATTAGAAGCTTTAGCGATATGGTTATGTTTTCAACGTATGAGATCTTATTTACTTGGTAGATCTATTATAGTTTATACGGATCATTGCCCGTTATGTAACATGATGACGTCTACTGTAAAGAATCGAAAAGTAGACCGCATTTCTATATTATTACAAGAATATAATATTGAAAAAATTATTCATATTAAAGGTCAACATAATTGTTTAGCTGATTATTTATCTCGTCACCCTATTCAATACTCTCTAAAAAAAAAAGGTATTTTCGGAAACTCAAAATAGGTTTCCGATAGTAACAAAATCGGAAACCCTTCTAGGGTTTCCGATGAAAGGTTTCCGAGACCTCGG